TAATAATAAACAATGAATTCCATTTCTCATTATGATACTGCCTTGAATGTGCATGAATGTAGGTAATCTGCTATAAAAAGTCTGTTACTTTATGAAAAATAATTGCATAGTTTGCATCAAACAAAAATGAATCATTGCAGTAAGAAATATTTATTTTGTGCTGCTGTTTTTATATGCATGTCAATTTAATAAATAATATTTCTGCTACAAAACAAACAAAAGATTATAATAAATCATTCAATTCAATGATGAAAGCTGCAAAGCAGTCATCAGTAAATAAATAATAATATACACCTCAAAAAAGAATAGACAAAAGAAAGTAAGTAAAGTCTCACTTTTATCACTCTTTAAAAGTTTTGGTTTCAGTTTGTGTCAATTTAAATGTTCAGTCTGAGATGATCTTCATTTTTCTGTGTTAGTGGAAAAGCTGGCGAGTCAGCCGACCCAATTTATGAGCAGGCAGAGCAGGATTCTTGCGCTAACCACCGGCGCAATACCGGTCTTTGTTATGAGCCGCAGTTTCAGTGTAAACTTAGTAAAGGCTAGATCCAGATTTTACTCTTCAGCCGTTTGCATTTCCCGTGGTCATTAAAGCTCCTTCCCTGTCATCTGACAGTGGAATACCTTGAGTGAATGACAGCTAATATGAACCAATATAGCGACAGGGAAGAGCGATTCAGCACGTTTTTACAAAAAATCAAAACAGGTCGCACTACAACCATTATCTGCAGTCGCACTAATGCTCCCAGATATATTATGAGGTCGCATAGATTAATTTTCGGGCGCATATGCGACCAAAATGGTCGAAATTTCGAGCCCTGTTACAGAATTCTAGTTCCACTGTTAATATTGCCTACTCTCATGTCTGTGCTAACGCAGAATGAAGCGAGTGCACTGATGCCCATTCTGACCAATCACAGATGTTTCTGCTGAGCTCCTGAACACACAGGCATTCAGCTCATGCTGATATGCTCTCTCATTGGCTGCAGCTCGTCACTACATCTGACCACACGTGGGGTTGAGTCGGCCGACGGCTCTGGAATATTTAGCATGCTGAATGTTGGATTTCCGTCTGCGAGGTGTCGGCGACGCGTCAGCGAGCCTCGTTGATGCGTTGCTCAGTAGTTCACACATAAAGAGCGGCGAGCGCCGAGCACCCGCAGATTTCGTCCCGATCACAGCCAGATCTGTCGGCGAGCTCGTTAACTTCCAAATCGGGCTCAAATCAGGCTTAAAATCCTCTAGTGTGAACTAGGCATTATCCAGCATATGTTTTGCGCAGCGGATGCTCTTCCAGCTGCACCCCATCACTGCAAATTAATTATGATGAATTATTTGATGGCTGACATGCAGAAGGGTTTTCAGCATTTCTATACTCACCTTCAAATCGGACAAAGCTATAAAACTATCAGGAGATCTATAAAAGTACACGTCAGACAGAAATCACTACACCATGTGAAGTTTGGCAGATAGCTTACAGTTAACGTTTAGATATTTAAAGGGTAATTATGTCATAATTTACTCACACTTTACTTGTCTCAAACCTTTATAAGTTTCCTGCTTCTGTTGAACACAAAAGAAAATATTTTGAAGAAAGCTGAAAACTTGTAGCCAGGGTGTGAACTACAGGGGGGTTTGAGGGGGGGATTGACCCACCTAATTAAAGTTTGACCCCCCCTATAGGGATGTCAAAACAAGATGTACAGGTGGTCCCGTTGAATCTGAGATAAAAGTTCACTCTGATCTGTATTTTAAATAATTATATTAGCAATTAAAATAATAGATATACATTTGGGTGAAGCAGTGGCTTTCGCCTCACATCAAGAAGGTCGCTGGTTCGAGCCTCGGCTAGGTCAGTTGGCCTTTCTGTGTGGAGTTTGCATGTTCTCCCTGCGTTCGCGTGGGTTTACTCCAGGTGCTCCCCACAGTCCAAAGACAAGCGGTACAGGTGAAATGGGTGAGCTAAACTGTCTGTAGTGTATGAGTGTGTGTGAGTGTGTTTGGATGTTTCGCAGAGATGGGTTGCAGCTAAAAGGGCATCTGCTGCGTAAAACATATGCTGGATAAGTTGGTGGTTCATTCCACTGTGGCAACCCCTGATTAATAAAGGGACTAAGCTGAAAGGAAAATGAATG